TTGGCGCTCTACAAATAAAATTTAATTGAATTGAACATGTGACAAGAAAGACCAAACAGACTATTTGCTAATAATGGACACAATTGACAAAAATCAAAATAAGGCAAATAAGTCGCCACATGCAAGCTTTATTTAAGGTTTAGATATTGCACAATATTGAGTAAGAGCAATGGAGAGCTCAGCAGTTCAATTCAGTACAACCCAGAGCTTTTTCAAACTAACAGCATGTTGTGTCAGACTTTTTTGGTCAAATTGTGAGAATTGGTCAAAAATAACACATGATACAACCTCTGTTTTTCAGAAAGGCCACAGCTGGGAAGGCAAAAGCAGCACATTTATAGTGGAAGTGCAGTCTGCTGTTCATAGCCAGATTTGCCAAGAACTATGGACCTCAAATATACCCAAGAGGCTTTAAAGTTGTGTTCAGAGTGTATGTTGTGTGAATGTGAATGTGTGTCTTACTGTCTGCCAATTTGTGTATGTTATCCCCCAGACTCAGGTAGTAGGGGTGTCGTAGAGCGGCTTCAGCAGAGATTCTGCTCCTGGTGTCGTACTGCAAACAAAATGCAAAAACAGCTTATTAGGCCGTCTCTGTTCTGTCTCATATCCAGCTGAGTGAAGGTCATTGTGCTTTTGTCTCATACCTGCAGCAGAGCAGACAGCAGGTCGATCCCCTCTGTGTCCAACCTGATGGAGACACATAAACAGTTTGTATTATGATATGCTGCTACTGATGATGAAGGTAAATGCAGACTGGGTGAATTTCCTTCATGTTTGTTTTTTTCTCAAATGACCCCCAAAATGTTCTGGATTTCTTTTTATTAATAGCAATGTTTAGTTTTATGATTATGCTAAATGTAACTAGCAAAAAAGAGCAGAGAAAATATTTCACAGCAAAATACAACAAAACACAAAATACGGCTAAATTATCCACCAGGATGTAAATTTGGCTTTTAAAATTTAAAAGCAGCATTGGAACATGTAACATATGCAACAAATGTGCAAAAAGCTACCAAATTATAACACACATCACACTGATCAAAATATTAAACAAAGCATGAAACACTAAGTTATAAAATAAAATCATGTGGAGAAAGATTTGTGGCTTATATAAAATACTGATTGCACTTAAAAGTAAAAGTACTTTTGGATGTTCAAGGAAATGTCTCCCAGACTCGTGTCTGTCAAAGCAATCATTTATTTAATCTATTACTCTGACAGTGTAACTGTTCTAGCAAGCTTATTCCAAGGTGTGCAGTTCATGTTGCCAAACAATTATGAAAACAGTTCCAATGACTGGAATGATTTGTAAACTATTTCTAAGACTGACTAAGTTGAAGCGGATGAGTACCCCCAGAAGATAAAGCTGTTGTGTGCAGTTCTTGAAAATATAGTTGGTATTTTCAGAGAGGCTGAGTTAGCAGCCGAGAGCTGTACCAAGACACTTGAAACAGTTTCAACAATTTGGCTGTCAAGTACAACAGGCCCTGTTAAGAAATGCTGCTTGGCAAAATAATAATTTCTTTAGTCCTATTAACATTAATCTCCAAACTACTACTTTGCACCAAGTCTGAGCTTGTGTTGAGCTTGGTCAAATGCTTCACTGCTCTGGGGTCTGTTTTCTTAAGTATTATTTTTTTGGCCTTTTTGCCTTTATTTGATAGAGATGGCTGGGTATTTTTTTCTCAATGACCCCCAAAAATGTTCTGGATTTCTTTTTTTAATAGCAATGTTTAGTTTATGTATGCTAAATGTAACTTGCAAAAAAGAGCAGAAAATATTCACAGCAAAATTACAACAAAACACCAAAATACGGCTAAATTATCCACCAGGATGTAAACTTTGGCTTTTAAATTTAAAAGCAGCATTGCGGACATGTAACATATGCAACAAATGTGCAAAAAGCTACCAAATTATAACACACATCACACTGATCCAAAATATTAAACAAAGCATGAAACACTAAGTTATAAAATAACAATCATGTGGCAGAAAGATTTGTCGGCTTTATATAAATACTGATTGCACTTAAAAGTAAAAGTACTTGTTGGATGTTAAATTAGGAAATTGATACTTCGATGATCGTGGTCTGTCAAGCAATTCATATATAGGTCTCATCAGAAACCACTTTTTTTCCTCCTGACAGTGTTTTTTAGACATGTTCTAAGCCAAGAACTTTTTGCGCATATTTAAGGTGTCGTCTAGTATCAATCCGATATGCCAACTGAAGTTATCTTGATATTGTGCACTTTCTCGATATCGGTGTTGTAATAGGATTTCTTCTCTAGCTACGTGAGGCCTCATAACGGTTGAAGCGTGTTGTATGAGTATACACAGCTCGGGAGATAATAGGTCTCTTAGTAGTTGCGCTTCTGTGTAATACAGTCTTTCATATAGTTGGGTAGATTTTACACTAATAGGTTAGTATAGACTAGTGGAGAGCTGTGGGCACACACGAAAACAAAGTATGTAGAATCAGTTTTCTCCACCAATTTTGGCTCATAAGTACAACAGGTTACTAGTTAAGAAATGCCTAGTTTAGGCTGGTGATCTTATTTTTTTTAAGTCATAATTTGTATCTTTCTCCCCCTTCTTTATATCTCATAATATATAGACTAGTCTGCATCTATGTGCATCATGTCCTTTCGGCTGCCTAGTGTTTGGACGCGTTTTCCGCGATGGCAATTGGACTCCTCAGACTGCGTCGTACCCGCTCAGTTTTTCTCTCTAAGGGTTTTATTTTTTTGGCCTTTTTGCTATTATTTGATAGGATGGCTGGGTAGAAGCAGGAAGGGGGGGCAGAGAGACGAGAACGACATGCAGCAAACGGTCCGCCAAGTCGACTTGAACCCAGGCCACTGCGTATATGGGGGTCGCCAAGCT